TCTTCTGGATGCAGGTTTGCGCGGAGGCGCCGTCCACGACCGGGGAGGGGAGGGGAGGGGGGCGCGTGATGGTGAGGATGGGGGCCGGGCCCGTCTCGACGACCCCTTTCCTTTCTTCCAGGAGCCAAAGACGGACAAAGACGAAGAGCACTGCCGCAAAGTGAACGAGTACCTGAACAACCCCCCCATGCCCGGGGCGCTGGGCGGCAACGCGAGCGGGGGCCACGAGCTCTCGGCGCTGGGGGGTAAGGCCCGTTCTCTGCCCCTCGGGTTGAGAAGTATTATTTTTAAATAAATACAAACTCGCAGCTTTCTAAGAGCAAATCCCTGGGAGTCCTGCCTCCAAAACCAAGCGGCGTTTATCTCTTACGAGTGTATTGAATTAGCAAACGCTTGCAAAACGCTGTTTTTCCCCATGCGAGATGATGCCGGTTAACCTCCAGCTGTTGGAGCGAGTGGGGGGTGGGGCTGTGAAAAACCGTGTGAATACCTGGTTTCAGACTGTTTTTGTTTTTAGGTGAGGGTGGCTTGCAAAGCCTTCTGGGAAACATGAGCCATAACCAGCTCATGCAGCTGATCGGACCAACGGGCTTAGGAGGACTTGGTAAAAAGCTTTCATATCTTTACGCTTTCATATCTTTGTGCCAGCACGGTGCTTTCTTCTGCTGGGTTACGTCTTACCTGATGCTGAATATTTTCACGTGACTTCGAATAGCACTTCCCTTGTGCGAGGCGGCAAGGTCCTTCCTGTTCCTGCCTCAGAAACAGGACGAGGAGATGAGAAACGAAGCAGCCATGAGCTGTGCTTGGCATGTGCTTCGCTGGGGATCGATGCACAAGGGAGCTTTGTTTCTGGTCCTTGCCCCACTGACTGTTTCGCTGTTTGTGTCCTGTAAGTGCTCAGCAGAGCCCAGCTTCCCCCTCCCAGGTGTATACCCCGATCCCCCTGGCTGTGGCACACTTTTTCTCTGACTGAACACTGAATTATTAATGCAAGATGGAAGCACTTGAACGGGAGGGATTGAGAGTGTGTTTGGCCCAGAATAGCTTCTCCTGGCAGGCCAGCGACGTAGGTTTGAATCCTCTTCTGTCAAGGATGGAGTTTAACCCCTGGTGAGCAGTTGAGTCCCTTGAGTTTTATGCGAGGTTAGAGGCGACTTTGGTGTCTTCCCTGAGGGCCCAGAGGAGATCTCTGAGATTCCTTATTTCTTACACTTGTTCCTTATTTGACATTGGTCTCTTCTTTCCCTGGCCTTTGTTTTTAGTGTAGAATAGTTTGGGTTGAAGCACGGTGCTCGTGTCCCTCAGTGTCAGGGCCTGATGTGCTAATTAACTTCCTGCGGGGAGAGGCAAGGGGCTTCTGCAGGTGGTGAGCATCTGGTTTTGGCATGGCTCTCAGCCCCTGCTAGCATAGGGACTGCCAGCCCTGAAGTGTGGGATTTTGTGCTCTCGCATCTGGTTTGCACATCTCCCTCGGGGTACTCCTTCACTGCCACCCTTACCTGAACTGCCCAGCTGAGGTGGTCCCAGTGTAGTGAAAGGTGGTGCTGGCCTTGTTAGTTTTACTTCGTTGCTGTGGGATCAGTGTGATCAGGGACCAGGGGAGTTATATGTGCTGGGTGCATTCTGCAGAGTAGAGGAATAAGTGGCTCTACTTCCTCTGACCTCTCCCATGCTATTCGGTAGTTGCAGCCCTTTGTGCATGTGCTGATGGAGCACTGTTCTTGTGGCATCGAGGTTGTAACTAGTTTCTAAAGGCTGATCATCAGAATACAGGTGCTGGAAGTGTCCACAGTGGTTGGACTTGGTATTAGGAGCCACCTCAAGGGGCACATGTGCTGATGGAGCATTTGGCCAGCATGTGGTACAGGAGCAGAATCCCAGGGAAGTCACTGAAAACTGGCACCTGGAGTGGGGTCTGGAAGTAACCCACCTCCTAGGTTGTAGTATGTTCCTAGGTTGAAGGAATTGTACTGAGTTAAAGAGGTGGGGTGAATGCTGTGTGCCTGCCCCAGTAAGATTCCTTTCCTACATCAAGTGGAGGTGTAGATTACCCAGGGGGAAGGGACAGCAAGTGTTTGGTATGTTTCTCCCCTTTTGACTCAGTTTAAGTAATCCATCTGTCCAAACCTGTTGTTTAAAGCTGTAGTAGTGAATAGTAGTATGGGTGGAGGAGTCTTTGCATAGTTCACACATTCCCACTTCCTGTTGTCATGCATTGGCTCCCCGTGGCATTTCCTGCTCAGTGTAGTCCCGGAAGCCTGCCTTACTCAGGCACCACACTCTGCTCTCATTTGTGCTGTGTATCGGGTGCTTGACTCTCAAGCTGCTTTTTGCTGTTGCATACCTGCTCTTGGCTAGTAGGACCACGGTTATCACCCTAGTGCTGGCCCAAAACACTATGATCTGTCCACTGAGAACTCTCATTGGAGCCAAAACATGCGTTGTAGAAGATTAGGATCCAAGTAACAGGCCAGCACCTTTTTAACAAGCCCTAAAATAGGGCATGGCCTGGACAAGGGGGTCCTTTGTGGTGGTGGCTCTGGATGCAGTGTACAGACCAAAGCCACTTTGTCCTTACATCTGGGACTTGATCTGGCGAAAAGCACAAGCAGCTCTAATTGGGGAATTGTACCAAGGGGAGCCTTAACATCAGAAGGGGGAAACTGGTTGCATAAGGGGGGAAGAGGGTTTTTCTACTCGGCCTCTTGTGTCATTCTAGCAAGTGAAACTTGCAGAGATAGGAGTAGCCTCTCCGCTAGGGAGCAAGATAAACGTTGCTTTTAAGTGAACTTGAGTCAAACGTAGCCACGTAGCTGTTTCTAACTGTGTCTGTCCATCTCGTGGAAGGTGGGCTCGGTGCGCTGACTGGTCCTGGTCTGGCCAGCTTACTGGGAAGTGGGGGACCGCCAACCAGCAGCTCATCATCAAGGTAGGGTGCCAGTGAATGTCTAATGAGTTTCCACAGTGCTTCTGTGATGTTCCTTTCCTCTGAGCTGGGAGGCTTTGTGGTTAAATGATTAAACAGAACAGTGGGCATCCAAGCTGCTCCTTGCCTGTGTCAGATGGGGTGGTAACTCTTTGTAAGTGTAAAGCTGGTTTGTTGCAGGGGCCTGATTAAAAGCTACAAGTGAAGGAACTTTCTTGCACCAAGTCAGTAATGCTACTTTTGCTTCTAGCTCTCGCAGCCAATCAGCTGCTGTGACGCCATCTTCCACTACTTCTTCTACACGTGTGACACCAGCCCCGTCTGCCCCTGCGGCTGCCGCTGTAACCAGTCCCAGCCCTGTGCCAAGTTCGGGAAACGGAACCAGCTCGGCAGCAAGCCCAACTCAGCCCATTCAACTGAGTGACCTTCAGAACATCTTAGCTACTATGAATGTACCATCTGGAGCAGGGGGCCAGCAGGGTGAGCGCTGTCTCATGTCATATCTTCTTTGAAGCTGCTGTCTGTTCCAGACCACTCCAGATTGGTTTGAAAGCTTTTCTCTTAAGCTATAATGCACTGCAAGTAAATACTGAACCTACAGCTGCCCCAGGGACGATGTGTGTGTTGGGGTTGGGGGGTCCACTCGCATCCTGAAACTGAACTGCCAGTACCTCTGGCTACCGTAACTAAGCTTGTTCTAGGCTTCAGCTAACATAGCTTTATTCTTTTACAGTTGACTTGGCCACTGTGCTGACTCCTGAAATAATGGCTCCCATCCTGGCAAACGCAGAAGTTCAGGAGCGATTGTTGCCTTATCTTCCGTCAGGAGAATCTCTGCCACAGACTGCGGAGGAGATTCAGAACACTCTGACATCCCCGCAGTTTCAGCAGGTATGGATCACGCTGACCAGTGTAGGGGCTTCCTCCCTATCGCTTCTCTAGCACCAGCCCTCCCACCTCCTCTCTGTATGAATGCCTTTAGCAGTAAGTTCAATCCTGCTATTGTAATGCTGTGCTACATCAAAAGCAGCGTGAGGTTGCTGGAACTTTTTGCGTAGGAACTTCTGTGCCTCGGATGTTTATTGCCTGCTTCCGTTAGCCTAAGTGTGGTCTAAACCCCTCCATTTTCTTACTTGTGACTGGGCTGTCCTCTTCTCTCTCTAGTCTAACTGGGAAGATGCAGTCAGGGAATGCAGGTGCCTATGTACCTTCATAGAAGGGCAGGGTCCTTATAGCTAGCATATGCTCAGCCACTTTCAGGTAAGGGACCTGCAGTTGGAAGTTGGTCTCAGCTCTTAGGAGGCTAATACAAAGTGCAGGGGGCTCATCTAAACATAAAGCATAGTCACTTTTTAAAGGAACTTCAGGTTAAATGAACCAGTGCCTGCCGCATGCATAGACCTGGCCTTAGCAATGGGGGAGTGTTACTCAGCACACCCAGCTTTGGGGCGCGAAGAGCGAGTTCAGAGCCTACTCAGCAGTGAGTCCAGTCATGTTCTTACAAACGGGGGCTTTCCTGCTAGGTCCCAAGTCTCTGTTATTGTGATATGGAAATGATGTGCAGCTAGGAAACAAGGGGAAGATGATTGGTGTGAAGTAGCCACTGGGAGCCTGCATGTCGCTCCTGCAGCGTGACTATTATCACTGTTCTGGTTCACAGGCATTGAGCATGTTCAGCGCTGCCTTAGCTTCAGGACAGCTTGGCCCACTGATGAGTCAGTTTGGCTTACCTGCTGAGGCGGTCGACGCAGCAAACAAAGGCGGTAAGTATGTCTTGAAGGATCACAGCATTGCTGACTGTGTGTGAAGGGAATCTAGGCTGGGACCAGGTGCCAGGTGTTCTCCAAAATTCATTTAGCTGCTGACCTCAACAAAAGGGGGTCTGCTGCCATGCATTTATCACGGGATGGTGGTACGCAGCTTGTATAAGAAGTGCAGCTCCTGTCCATGGGCATGGAAGCAAGCCTAACTGCTGTCTTTAATTTATAGATGTAGAAGCATTTGCCAAAGCAATGCAGAACAGTGTCAAATCAGACCAAAAGGAGGGAGAATCGAAGGACAAGAAAGATGAAGAGGAAGATATGAGTTTAGATTAAGTTATTTGCTGCTCCCATATGGATATTCCTAGATATTAACTTAAGCAACTTCAGTAGAATTACAGACTAACTTCATATTATGCTTATATTAAATCTACAAATAAAGGGTTTTTCTTTTATCTGCCATATGGGTTTTTCTCACTTGATTTAGATTTTCTGTCTACTTCTAGGTCTTGAATGCTTGCTCTTATTGCTAACAGAGCTTTAGTGCGGTGCTGCAGGTCAGCCCAAAATTGAAGCCTTAGTCTTGGCTACTCCCATTCACAGCTTGCAGTAAGTAACTAGTCTAGCCCCTTTGTCAGGATGTTATTTCAAATGCCCAGAATGGGCAAGCAGATGCGATCCAAAGCAAGTATCAGTGAAGCTCTTAGGTGAACGTTTTGATGTGATGTGCCTGAGAGGGGATGTCGAAGGCCCACATGACAGGTCAGTTTCTGAAGCTGGTGTTAGAAAAAGCGCCTCTGGCACATAAGGACACTTCTGCGATTGTTTCCAAGATTAAAGCCTGCAAATGATGACAAAGCAGTAGCCATACTGGACACTCAGAGTTCATGTAGCAGCTCACTTGGGACACGTCCAAACGAGCACGGATGTGTGGTATTGCAGACCCCTCTGCGGTGCCACGCACCACATGCTGAAAAAACAGCAGGGTGGCAGTGTGAGCTCCCCGAAGCCTGAGCTGGCCAGCTGGAGCCAGGCTTCCTGCCATGGCTGTAGCCCCGGGAGGCCCCCAGGTAAGGCTTCTGGGGCCATCCTCCCTTTCCCCACCTGGGGTAACCTGCTGTGCACCAGAGCACATGTGGCATGGGCATTCCCTGTTGACAAGTAGCAGCAGTGCTGCTGCTACTTGTGCCTGGGGAAACAAACATCTGTGCTCATCTGGATGCAGCCTTGGAGGTGGTTGTCCTCTTCAGGGCCCCAAACAGAAGTAGGTGTGAGGGGCATTGCCATGGCTTATGTTCAATGAGAATATAACATCATGTTTTATTTGACTCAAAAGTATGTACCAGTGATTTACAAAGACCATCTTTTAATGCTACAGTTAAAAACAGGTCATAATTACATTTTGCTTAAAGATAAAGACATTGTTAAAAACCCATTTTACAATATTTACCCCTCATAAAAAAATCAATATAATGATATAAGTTATAAATCCATTTCAGAAGCAAGATTTTGTCCCCATGTGACTAGATATTTACACACAAATATATATAGGATGTGTAAGTGCACAAGTGAACTAGGTGGCTTGGCCTGGGGGAAAACTGTTTTATTTTATATGAAAGCTGCTCTATACTGGGAGTTAAAGTAGAGGTGACCTGCAGGAGAGGGACAGAGACGGCAAACAGCCAGGTTCATCACTGAAACGCTACAAACGTGAGGCTTTCTGCAAGCAGCAGCTCGTGACTTCATACAGCAGATCTGTACCTCGGGACCTGTTTTACCAATGGGGCCTGTTTCCTCAACATAAACAGTCAAAGCAAGAGGTTTGTTTGACAGTCCGCGAAGTATGAGCTGAGCTTTCCTCCTCAGAGCTCTCGGCACTATGTAGCAAACCAGGTACAAAGGCCGGAGCGGGTGGCGGGTGAACAGATGGGGCGTTACCTGCTGTGCAGTGGTCAGTGACTGGGCCAGGCAGCGAGGCATGTGGTGCCAGGAGTGGGGTGTGTCCGATGCTGAGCACTGTGTCCTCACGTCCATCCTTTTTTAAATGGCTTCTGGTGTCTGCAAGATTCTGATACCTGAAATGTCCCTATGTAAAATGCTGGTTTTGGCCCTTGATTTCTAGTGGCAGGCTTGCTCCATGGCTCCTGGACTTGGGTGTGTCTGGCAGCTGGTACTGGACCATGTTGGGGGGCTGCTGGGTCCCACCACAGAGCCAGCACGTCCTGGGGAGCAGCACAGCTCCTTGCAGTTCAGACGTTGCACTTGGGTGCACTTGTACTTACAGCACGGGGCAGCCCCTGAGGCCGACTGAGCCCCTGACAGTAGCGGTGCCCGGCAGGTCAATGAGGTGCTCGTCTATCATGAGGTTCCTTATGCAGCCAATGTAATGGGGGAGAGGAGTCAGGGGCGAGGGCGATGCAGCGCCCAGCTTGGCTGTTTCTGCAGAAAGGGCAAAAACCGAGTGTTTCTTATTGCAGCAAGCGGGAAAGAAGGCAGTGTTTGTGTGTCTGACCTCCCAACAACTGTCCCTAGCCCCCCCAGTGCCCAGGATCAGCATACAGAATGGTCATTTGAGGAGAAAGGCAAAGCGAAGGGAGCTGGGTTTAGCTCCACTATGAAATGGAGGCACCGGTGGGCTCATCTGTGAGTCGCTTGCTAAGGACTAAGTGCCACCTACAACCAGACCCCCTGCAGTCAACATGGGGGAGCTCTGGGGACTCACCTGGCATTCCCCCGACGTGCAAGGGTTCCTTGCGCTCTGCCCAGTGGGTCTGGCTGGGTCCCACTGTGTTGTTCCCAACTCTGTCCACCGCCACCTGGATCACGTTTCTCTGTTTGGTGACTGAGAAAGCAATCTGCAGTCAGCACCACTTCGGTGCTGCGGGAGCTGGCCGAAGCCTCCCACCTCCCCTACTCTGCTCTCAGGGCTTCACACTTATTTAGTTCCACATTGGGTCTGGTCTCCTTGTCTGCTTTCACACCAGAACAGGTCAGGGGGGTTGCAACTGGTGTTCAAGCAGTGACTGAAGCAGTAGCCGGGGCCCTGAGAGCCCTTCCTAGCGGGAGGTGGGTGCTTCTGCAAGACAGCTGGAACCTGTGGAGGCTGAGAAGCTCAGTCAAGAGCCAGCCCCTTCTCTCCCTGCAGGAAACTGCACCTCATTCATGCAGGCAATCCCCCTCCCCCTAGGTGCCAGCGAAGCACTAGTAAGGGGCATGGCTTCCTTGCACCCCAGTGTCAGGGCCAGGCAGGCAAGTGGCTCAGTGCGGTCTCAGCAGGCTCCTGGCAGCTCCAGCACTGCTGGGGCCCTCACTTGGAGCAGCACTGAGCTTTGCTGTGGCTGTTTTATCAATGATGGAGGCAGGGCGATGTCAGATGAGTACAGCCCTGCCATGCACCCAGGCTTCAGGGCTGTGCTGAGGCTGGTAAGCATGTGTGCACGGACTGAGCAAGTGCGGGAAGGATGGTTTGCACTGGCTGGGAACGTGTGTGTGTGTGAGAAGCTAGGTAGATGAGTGCAAGTTCTGGAAAAAGCAGGGCATGAGCGAAGGAAGAACCCTCCCCGGGGTTAGCCCTCACAGTGGAGTAGCTGAAGGCACTCGTCCAGACAAGCTAGGCACAGAGCTAGCTTTCTCCAGTACTTCTAAAGCTGACCTTCTGCACCCAGCCATTAAGTCCTGGACTAAAGGAGCTGGGGACCAGCCTCTTTCCAGTGGGAGCAACAGCTAAACTACAGCCCAGGACCTGCTCCGCTCCACCACAGCCTCTGCAACTGTGACTCTCCCCCTGCCCCATGGATATCACACAGCTCCGCATGCGGCTGCCCAGTACAGCACACTTCAAAGGGAGGGCTGGAGACCGGCCTGGCTTGTGCCTGATCTGTGGCGTGCAGGTAAAAACTCTGGTGCTGGGCAGTTAGAGACACAGGTTTTGCCCCACTCTGGGTGAGGAGCCTGCGCCCAAGGCTCTTGTTTTCTGGGCCAGGCATGCGCATGCAGCTGCCCAGGCCCTGCAACACTGGCTGCAGGGGCTCCAGTTGCTTTCATGTACTCATGCAGGGGAAACTGACCCAAAACTGCCACTTCGGGGATTAGAAAGCTGCTATTTATGGGATGGGTCCCCTGGCACATGGAGCATCTAAAAGCCCCTCGGAGGCCAGGACTGCCTGAGCCAGGGAGCAGCTCCGCTACTGGGAACATGGAGGCTCTGGTGCCCCACCCCCAGTCGTGGTCCCAGCCTTGCCATCTCTCACCTGTGATGGCGTGCCACTGGCCGTCACACAATGCCGGGTGGGCCACCCACGTGGAGAACTCCCCTGCCCCACTGTTCACTTTCAGC